AGCTTTTGAGTATTTTTGGATCAGTCATAAACAATCAAAATCATTTTTTTTCTTGTGTCCAACAATAGTTGGATTATGGTAAATGACAAATTAAGCAGTTGTGTCAACAGTTCAGTGGCAATGTCACTGGAGACATAACCAGATCTATAAATGAATTGGAGACACGGATAGTAGAGCTGCAGGGTTTGGCAGCATCTACAGGAAACCAAAGGTTTTTAGATTCCCTCAAAGCTAAAAAGGCCGTTCTGGCCAACCTGTTTGGCACAACAGCCAAAGGAGCCCTGGTCAGATCACGTTTCCTAAGTGTTAGAGAGATGGGAAAAGAAAGATTGTTCACTCCCTAAAGACTGACTGTGGTTCTACTATCTCAGGTTCTTCTGAGATCAGGAAGTTTGCTGTCAGGTCTTCTATAAAGACCTTTTTAAGAGTGAACATTTGGTGAATCCAGTTGTGAGCGATGGTTTCTATGAAGGACTTTCTCGGTTGGATGCTGTAGCCAATTGAAAACTGGAGGCTCAAGTCACACTCCATGAATTGCATGCTGCCTTGATGAGCCTAAAGAATGGTAGATCCCCTGGCATGGACGGTCTTCCTGTTGATTTCTACAAGTCCTTCTGGTCTGTGATTGACGAGAACTTGTTGGACGTGATCACAGACAGCCTGCAAAGAGGTTGGCTGCCCCTGAGCTGCAGACAGGCAGTCGTTACTCTGCTTACAAAGAAAGGAGATTTACAGGATCTAAGGAACTGGCGGCCAGTCTCTTTACTCTCTACGGATTACAAGATATTTTCCAAAGTCCTGGCTACCAGAGTTAGAGAAGTTATGTCAACAGTTATTCACAGAGACCAGACGTATTGTGTGTCTGGCAGGCTGATAAGTGATAACGTCACTTTAATCAGGGATGTTTTGGAAATCTCCAGCTCATTGGGCATAGATATTGGTCTGATTTCTATAGATCAAGAAAACGTTTTTGACCGAGTTGAACACCAGTATTTGTGGCAAACTTTGGCTGCTTTTGGTTTCAGCTCTGGTTTCATAGCTATGATCCAGGTTTGATATTATGACATTGTGAGTGTTCTTAAAATAGATGGAGGCTTAAATGCTCCTTTCAATGTTTTAAGAGGTGTGAGGCAAGGCTGTTCTTTGTCAGGGATGCTTTATTCTTCGACAATTGAACCTTTGCTTCATAAGCTGAAGAAAGAATTATGTGGTGTTTCTATTCCTGGGTGTGATGTCCCTTTAAAATAGTCAGCCGATGATTTAATAGTTCTAAACACACAGGAAGATATTAATGTTTTAGTGTTTTTCATTTTGGCTGTATCTCTTCTGCAAAAGTAAACTGGAGAAAGAGAGTGAGGCTATAACTGTAGGAAGTCTGTTGTGGGATCAACTCAGTCTGCCTGGTGGCTTGGTGTGGAAAAAGGGTGGCCTTAAATATTTAGTTGTGTTCTTGGGTAATGAAACTGTTGTGCAAAAAAATGGGAAAATGTATTAGATGTTAAGGGTCGACTTTTGAAGTGGAAGTGGATTTTACCTAAAATACCATATAGAGGACGAGTTCTTGTCATTAATAATCTAGTTTCTTCCATCATGTTGCACCAGTTGATGTGTGTTGATCCTCCAATTTCTCTTTTATCAAATGTTCAAAGGGTTCTTGTAGATTTTTTTTCGGGGGATAAACTTCACTGGATTCCTCAAAGTATCCTGTTTTTGCCGAGAGAAGAAGGTGGTCAAGGCCTGGTCCACCTGGCCAGCAGAGGAGCTGCTTTTTGTTTTCATTTCATTCAGAGACTGCTCACATGACCTGCAGATCTGGTGTGGAGGAGTATATCATGCTGCATTCTTCAGAGATTTGGTGGCATCGGTCTGGATCTGCCTCTCTTTCTGATGGACTCCAGTAACTTTAACTCTTCTCTTCTTCCAGTTTTTATAACAGTATTTTCTCTGTGTGGTCTTTGCTGAGGAAGGATAGACAGCAGCAGGATGAGTCTCTGCACTGGCTGCTCCAGGAACCGGTTCTGTTTGGGAGTATGTTGGATTCTATTTGGGGGGCAACAACCTGCCCCAAACTGCTCCACACTGCAAAGTTTATTGCCTTGGGAGGGTGGTGGAGCTGGCTGGACCTCGGCTGGATGATCCTGTTAAGCTCGCTGCTTTTTTTGAGAATAAAATCAGTTTGACTTGTCGTTCAGCTTTTGTGCAACTGGAAGCAAAAGTTAGTGAACATCAATGTTCACTTTTGACTGATTATCATGAAGGTTCTATGTCACCAAATCACTTGGAATCTTTTCCATCCTTTAGACTGTTTCCTGGGATAAAGAACTGCTCTGGCCCTTTTTTGGATTCGGTGGACAATAAAGGAATCTCCTTAGAAGGAGCTTCTGGAAAAGTTATCTATAGAATGATTGTAAAAACTCTCAATCAACACAAACTGAATGGATGCAGTGACACAGTATGAAGAACTAATTTCTCCTTAAAACCTGAATTCAAGCCTGAATGGAAATCATTGTAGAAGCCTCCTCTAACGAAAAAAACCTGCAGATTTACAATGAAGAATCCTTCATGGTATTGTAGCTGTAAACTCTTGTGTTTCTGTTATTAATCCTGCTGAGGAAGAAAAAATGTCCATTTTATGAACAGAGAGAAACAGTGTTTCATTGTTTTTCTGACTGTTCGTCTGTCGGCTCTTTTCGTGCTTTTGAGAACTATTTTCAACAGATACAGAGAAATGTTCACTAAACATGGATTTATGTGTGGATTTAGATTCACCGTTAAAAAAAGAGTAAATGTCAATTGATAATTTTATTGTTAGGAAAGGCTAAAATAGCCGTGTACATAAGTAGAAAGAGGAAGGTGGTGGAAGAGTTTAATATTGACTTGGTTTCTTTACTTATTAACCGGATGAAGTCTAGGCTATTGATTGAATTAAATTTTTACAGATCAGTTTCAGATTTAGATACTTTGTGTCGCATCTGGAGTTATGGGAAAGTAATTTGTAGCGTGACAGGAGGAGAACTCATTTTTGGGAAGGTGTTAATGTCATTTATTCTCTGGTGTAGGTTTTTTCTTTTTGTTGAATTTTCTGTTGCATAGTTTGTGATACTATGTCGAATATTTATTGAAAATAAATGAGTTATTATTATCTCTCTCTAATCCACTTCCTGTCCCCTCAGGTCGCAGCTTAGCTGCGCTCAGAGCTCTCCTATACCTTTGTATTGCAGAGGAGCTCCTGCAACTTTTAGAGCAAAAATCTATGGGGAAAGATTATAATACATCACCAATCTGAAGAAAAATGGAATAATGCTTTACAAGTCATTAAAGACTAAATATTTATCTTGCACATCTAAAAAACACATATTAATGTATTTCTAAATATTTTAATTGTAAAATTAGATAACAGGCATCCAGTGGAATATGAAAAATGCCAATCTCTGGTACGGACAACCCCCAAGAAACCTCAGCTAACCTCAGCTAGAAGCCGAGGCTGGAAGGAGATGAAAACAAACATCAACCGGAAATGTTTGTTGAAGTTAGGCTAATTAGCAAGATGGTTAGCATTCGCTATAAAGATGGGACTTTTTAATGGTGAAAAATCTGATTTTATCTGGCGATTTTCTCATCATGGAATGTTTTTATTACAAATATGCTGGATTACTTTTTATCCATAGACTCTGACAGACAAATGGAATATAAACAATCTAAGATGGGTTTTATAATACTGCCTCAGGATCACTTGAAAGGTAGGAGGTCGAAGCTTGATTTAATATGCTGCCATATCTTTATTAATTGTGCTTTGGTGCTCATGGTGTCTATAAACTTAACTTGGTTGTTGAATTGTCGAGAATCTAAGCTTTCTAAGGATGTATAACATCTCTCTATTGGTAAAAGTGTTATTTTCAAGTGTACTACTGTGTATAATGGTGTATAATGTAAATATGCACAAAGGAGTGCCGGCGATCGGGTGGATGTTAAGAGGTAGGGGGGAAAATCTATATTTCAAATAGGCCATATCGCCTAAATGTTCTTTCCACACATATGCTAATGTGCAATGATCTTTTATTAGTAAACTATCTGACAGAGCAAAGATAGCAGAGCAACTCAAGCAAAATGTCAAATTAAAAATCAATATTAATATGGTTCAACCATCTGAACCATCTCCTTTATGCAGTCTATTGGAGTTTCTTTAGTTTGTTTGGTTAAATTTCTTTTTCTTCGTTTCTTCAGAGCATCTTTCTTTGGTTTGGTCAAATGTCTCTTGCAGTGAAATCAAGTATCCTATCCTTTCTTTTCACGTGTCCAGAATGGGATGCTGCATTTCCATGTAAGGGATCACCTCATACTCCGGTACAGCCTAGACTTAATAAAAACTGAATTCTTCTGGCACTGGGATTTTTGTTTTTACTGTTCTCACTTCATTTTATGGTTCAAACAATTATTACAGGAAGAAAAGAATATAGCACTCTGGCCATGCTGAATTGCTACTTTTTAGGGAAAAAAATGAGAAAGCTGCTCCAGATGGCTTTATCATTTAGGCCTGTTTTCCTCTTTCTTACTGCTTCTTTTACTACAATAGAACAGAGAAATTTAATTAGAAACTCATTTAAAATTTGCTCAGCGTCTGACATTCAGCTGGGGTCTGTCTCTTCCACGCAGAGGTGGAATTTAATAATTGTTTGTGGGGAAACAAATTTAGGCCAGAATGAAGTTCATATCTTCCGGTTGCTTGACAGGATCTCCTCAAACTCAAGGACAGAGTGTGGTGCTCTTATTTGAAGTTTCCTTTTTTAACCATCAATAAAAAGTCTTTCTGCTGTGTTTGTCTTTCAGACCGCCTGCAGGATTCTGTTGGGAAAGAGGAGGATTTCTCTGACCAGCAGCTCTGTGGACAGGAGAGGAAATCCAGTTTGGACCAAGAGGAACCAGAAGCTCTGCAGATAAAAGAAGAGCAGAAAGAACCAGAACATCCCTGGATAAAAGAGGAAACCATGGAGCTCCCAATAGGTGAGCAGGAAGAGCAGCTTGTTCTAAAGCAAGAATTTGAAGATACAAGACAGAAACCTTTTCCATGTTTGACATGTAGAGAAAACTTTCTTAAAAAAGAACATTTAATGGTTAACATGAGAACTCACACAGGTAAGACAATTTATGAATGTCTGTCCTGTAGAAAAATGTTCTCTAAGAAATCTAGACTTGATAGACACATTAGAATTCAAAGCCACCTACAAACCTCTTAAAATCATTATTTTGTGTTCCTTTGTCAGCATAATTTTCCATTTTGTTTTTATTAAAAAAAGATTGTCTCCACGGCCTCCTTCACTGACAGTGGTCATTTCATGACACTTGATCATCAACATGCAAGAACTAAAGACTGATTTATATTTTGAAACCAGGTCCTCTGTGTAGGTATTCTAGTAAACAAAAAGCCATCCCGCCCCCTCCGCAGACACTCCACTGCACCTCTCCCAAATTGTAACTGACCGCAGACAGTGCCGCTGACAGGAGGCCGACTTGTTTTGTTTTTATGACAGAAATGGCGGAAAACAACTAGTGAAGTTTGACCCGCTAGAAGAGCGAGGCGCGAGAGAATGCTGGGACCCTATTTCCACCTGGATCCCCGCTCTTTTTCGCCGTAATGTCCCTCCGTTGTCGGACTAAACCCGCCCCCACTTCCTCGTCATCTTGGCCGTATTTAGACCCACAGCGTATTGCACAGACCATGCTTCGTTATTGAGCATAAATCAAAAATGTCTGCCTCAAGCTCACTGCGACTCACTGCTGCAGGAGTATAACCAGCGCTTTAGGATGCCACAGCAGTCTAAGATCTCTAAAACGAAGACTCTCACGATCTAGAAGTAAAAATATCATGAAATTAGTGTATTTACCCTTAATATGAGTAGGTAAATGAGATGATTTGCCAATGGAATTATTCTTTTTACTCTTAAAATAAGATATTTAGATAAAATGCACTTGAAATAAGACAATGCAATTGTGTGTTTTCTTATTTTAAACGGACTGAGTCATCAAATAGGATGAGCTTGAGCTGCATGAATCTTTGTTGTGTGAATAACTAAAAGTTTGTCACAGGAATGTAGTGTGGATTAGTTTTTACTCTAGGCTTGAAAGTGAAGTAGAAATAAACCCGGGAGGGTAAAGGTTGAACTTTTGTTTTGATTGAAGTCAGCATTTCTTTTGCAGAATAATGTGATGGAAAATGTCATCTATGTTAACTTCACCCTGTTTTTCTTAAGATGTTCTGCATTACCCATGTTGTGTCTTCAGAAGAGGTGCATTATGTCTTTTTACCATCTTTTTAAATCTTCTCTACTTATTGTGTCTAAGGTGTCAGACAATCTAGCTCTGTACTGACGTCACTGAAGACAGAATGTTAGATAAAGAGTTGGATCGGACCAGAAAGGGATGGAGCTCTGACTTTCTGGACAGCACCTCCCTTTTCTTTTGGCCTTCTTTGATAAATGTGTGTGCTTATCGTCGTTTGGGGCTTATCCATAATGTCACAGTGGAGCTGGTGTCTTTCTCCAGCAGTGTCTGGGTAAAAGGCATGGCGAAACCTGGACAGTTCAGCAAAAAAAAATAAAAAATTGTTTTAAAATGTCTTTAATGGTTAAGAATCTGCAAGTAATCCATTTAGAGAGATTCTAAAGCTTTGATGATAAAAGTGGAGGTCCTAACCTTGCCAGATGGCGGAGAATTAACCAGTCTGTTTTAACCTGTTATTGTAATGTCAGAGCTGCATTGCATGCTGGGTGATGTATTTCTAGTCTGCTTATGTGTAGTTAGATAAAAACAAAGATAATTAAAGTGAATTGTCCTTTCTTTAGCCTACAATAGAAAGTCTTTTTGCTGTGTTTGTCTTTCAGACCGCCTGCAGAATTCTGTTGGAAAAGAGGAAGTTTCCTCTGACCAGCAGCTCTGTGGACAGGAGAGGAATTCCAGTTTGGGACAAGAGGAACCAGAAGCTCTGCAGATAAAAGAAGAGCAGCAATCGCCAGAACATCCCTGGACAAAAGAGGAAACCACAGAAGTCCCCATTAGTGAGCATGAAGAGCAGCTTGTTCTGAAACAGGAGACTGAAGAGAAACCTTTCCCATGTTCGACATGTGGAGAAAACTTTCTGAAAAAAGAACATTTAATGGTTCACATGAGAACTCACACAGGTCAGGAGATTTATAAATGTCGGTCCTGTGGAAACATTTTCACAAAGAAATCTAAACTTGATAGGCACATGAGAATTCACACAGGGGAGAAACCCTTTTCCTGTACGATTTGTAATAAGAATTTTACTCAAAAGAGTAATTTGACTTCTCACATGAGAACTCACACAGGTGAGAAACCTTTTGCCTGTAAGATTTGTAAGAAGAATTTTACTCAAAAGAGTAATTTGACTTTTCACATGAGAACTCACACAGGTGAGAAGATTTATGAATGTCTGTTCTGTGGAAAAATGTTCACAATGAAATCTAGTCTTGATAGACACATCAGACTTCACACAGGTGAGAAGCCTTTTTCTTGTACTGTTTGTAAAAACAATTTTACTGACAAGAGTAGTTTGACTTCTCACATGAGAATTCACAAAGATGAGAAGCCTTTTAAATGTCTGTTCTGTGGAAAAAGCTTCACTAAGAAATCTCATCTTGATTCACACATCAGAGTTCATACAGGTGAGAAGCCCTTTTCTTGTACCATTTGTAACAGGAGTTTTACTGTAAAAAGTAATTTAACAAAACACATGAGAACTCACACAGGTGAGAAGCTGTTCTCCTAAAGGATTTGTAACAAAGGTTTTAAACAAGAAGGTAATTAAGTGTTCAGATTACATTTATTCATACATGATGTGGAATGATTTATATTTAAAAAAATCCGTTTTACATAAGTCGCAGCAGTTAGACGCCGCAGGAATGAACAGTCGAGGCGTTTTTCATGTTTGACTGGTGATAAAATGTCCATCTAGAAACTCCTTCACCGCATTACAAACTCACAGGCATTAATGTACAGCTCTGTTTACATAGAAACTAGAACAGATACAGTGTTTTATTGTTAACCTGGTAAATATTCATGTCCTGGTTAAATATGGGGCTGTGAACATTTAATAGTTAATTATTTTGGACCTGAGTAAATTAGATTTAAACAGCCAAAAAATCATGTTGCCCTACCAATAAAAAAGAAGTTTATATTCACAATTTCTTACTTTAACTGTGATGAAGGGAATAAAAATAATAAAGTGCAACGACAACATCTTGGTTACAGATGAAGCAAGTTTGCTGTCCATACAACAAGCAATTGAGAAGTTCTAGATGTCTAAATTAAAACAAATCCAGACGGACCCCTACTGTGCCATTTTTGGCATGGTGTGACACAACTTTTTCTGAATGAACTTATTCAAATAAAAAAAGTTTTATTTTTTGGACTAAGAAACTTTTGGCTAAATGATAAGCTATCAGCTGGATATATTGGGGTTAAACTACGGGACATCAAAGAAATTAGTGTAGAGGCTGGAGTCTGTAGTTCAGGTAAATTGAAGTCCTAAAACAAATAAACGTGTTTGTTTAAAAAGATAAACAAGATGTTGTTGCTGTCATTTTTGCTGATCAGTTTAAACCTGCTTTAACTTGGTTAAAAGCCCTTTTCTTAATAATGTATTGAAGAAATCTGACACTCCTCTAGAAATGGGAAGTTTCTCCTTTAAAGACTTTTGAAAGTATAATTTTCCTTTGAACTAATTCTAATAGTTTTGTTCTTGATTCTGTAGATGTTCTATTTAACTGCTATGATTGAAAGAAACTACTGCCTATTTTATAAAACTGATTTTATGTACTATATTCTGCTGTGGATGTTTTTAAAGCTACAGTGTGTAATAATTACAGGGATATACAGTCAGAAATCTAATATATTATACATAACTATGTTATTTATCATCATCTACGAGCTCAGCCTCTTAACCTTAATATTTGTGTTGCCTTAGAATTCGTTATTTATAATTACATAGGAGCGGGTCTCGCAGCCATGGAGGCTGACATCTTTGCGCTACGGCAGCGCAGAGCCAACAAACTAGCGATTGCGAGATCGCCCATTACGCTCGAAAGTAACTACGGCAAGTTGAGAGAGATGAACTGAGACGGTACTGAAATCTATACCCTACACAGACTAATGAAATACTATCTGTAAAATTATCTATGTAAACAAACCACATCACTTGAGAAGGTAGGTGATGCGGACGTCGTGGAAGACATTTTGTCCCTTAACGCTCGCCGTACTGTTGGGGGGGAGAAGCGGTGGGGGGGGGGGGGGATGTTGATGTTGCTGTGGTCTGCAGTCTGGACGTTAGATGTTGCTGAAAATTACACACTGTAGCTTTAATTATTGTAATCACTTCTAAATTGATGAAAGAGCAACAATAAAAACCTCATGGATTGTAAATATTTAATTCTTTAAATGGTTTCATATAAATTAAAAACAATCATTTTCCATGTTTTCTCTGATACTTTCAGACAAATTAAAGCTCTAAAATAAATAATTTAAAGGCATTCACCTTCTGTCTTCTCCAGTCTTTCCTGTTGCTCCTCCTTCAGCATGAATCTTTTTAGCTTTTTAGAGCCTGACTGTTCAAATCTGGCCACTGGATAAATCCTCCTTTACTTGTTGGAGATCTTAGATTAGGAAATAATGTAGGTAGTATTCTGGCCCAGTTGGTTTGGCAATCAACTTATTGATGCGCATCACCGCCATCTACTGGAATGGAGTGTGGATCGGGATGTTATATATAAATTCTCCCACAAAACAAGAAATAAAATTATAATAAGTTAAAAAATCTTATATTCTTTTTATCAATTTTGTTTTCTTAAGGTAATTCGTTAAATAAAAAAACATTTAGAAGTAGAAAGTTAGTCCAAAATATCTTTTAAGTTTATTTAATTGCTTTTTATTTTCTTGTTATTGACTAAATAATTCCCTTCTCTCAATAGGATATTTAGAACAGACTAAGAAAACATTTTTTATTATAATTTCCTGTTGGATGTTTTCCCATTTTAAATAATGTACTATTTAACCTTGTATGATCAAAACATAATCTGGATATAATGGTTTCTATTTCTTCCTGTTCTCCTCATTGCACCAACTTTTCTTTGAATTCTGTAAAGCCACCTTCCAGTTTTATCCTCTTCCCGCTGCTTTTGCCATCTTTCCTTAACTCTTTGTTTGATAATAGATTTAATTTCTTCTTCACTAAATGGTATATCAATATAACCATTTTTTGTTGTTTGTTTTGCATATTTATCTGCCAACTCATTTCCTTTTACTCCTATATGTGACGGTATCCATGTAAAAATAACTTTTAAACCCATTGTCTAAATTCTATAAAATAAAAATGTAATCTCTAATAAAAGGTCTCGTCTACTATTACAATGATTAGTTTTATATTGAATATAATGATGAACTTGAATCAGAACATATTATCCTTCTTACAGCACAAACTTCCTCAATCCATCCTAAAGCCAAAATGATTCCCATCATCTCTCCTGCATAAACTGTCAATGGGCAAGAGGCGGGATACCCCCTGGACAGGTCGCCAGTCCATCGCAGGGCAACACAGAGACACACAAACAACCATTCACGCCATAAACTAGCACTCCATCAGTAATTATTTTACATTTTTTAATACTGAATATTGGAACAATGAATAACACCCCACTATTGCTATTGGAATTTTTTGAAGCATCTGTATAAATTTGGACATGCCCATAGTACTTATTGTCTAAATGAATTTGTACTGAAATTGGATCTATTAGGTTTTCTTTTTTCCCTTTCTCCAACAAAGTAAAACCAACAACAATATTAGGAATTCTAGATGGATGAACCGGTGAAAGAGGAACTGTTTGACTGATATTTGTATTAGCTAAATCAAAGTCATGTTTTCTATATTCCAACCAAACAAATTTAAAATCTTTTTTTTTTTTCCTTTTACCAACTAGGTTTTAAAATTTCATGACATGGATGATTTCCAATATGTCCCTTTAAATGACACCAATAAGAAGTCTTTAACTGTAATCTTCTGAACTGAAGTGGAAGCTCTCCCATTTCTACTAGTAAAGCTGATGTTGGAGGTGTTCATGACCTCAAGGCTTGATACTGAATATTATCCAATTTTTTGAATAGTGTATCGGATGCTGATCCAAAAGCTATACTACCATATTTAAATACATACCTTATTAAACCAGAATATATTGCCTTCATTGCTTTCCGCTCTGCACCCCAATCACTCCCCACCAAACACCAAAAACTCTCTTACACTTATCCACTACTTTTTGAAGATGAATTTTCCAAGTAAAGTTTTCATCTAACCATAATCTCAAACACTTCAATTCCTTTACTCTTTCTAATTCACGATTATATATTTGCAATTTTAAACTTTCAGACACTTTCGTCCTCGTACAAAAAATAAAATCTTTGTTTTGTTTACAGAAATTTGAAAACCCCGTTTAAAAGTCCAATCTTCTGTGATATTACTTGTTTCTTGTGTCTTTCTAACAATGAAATAAAAAAAATTCCCCCTTTTCCATATTGCTCCATCATCAGCAAATAAAGAAAACCCCAATTCACTCTCCAAATTGTCAAACGTATCATTAATCATAACAGAAAACAAAAGACTCACTATACTTCCCTGTGGTGTACCATTTTCAACAAAAAACCTTTCTGATGAATGTTGTCCTATTCTTACTTGTATAGATCTGTCTCTTAAAAAAAATCTTTTATCCAATAAAACATTGATCCACTAATTCCTATTTTTTTTTTAAATTTAATTAAAAACCTTCTTTCCATATTATATCCTAAGATTTCTCTCTATCAAAGAAAACAGCCACCACTCTCCTTATTCACTTGCCCTTTTCTAATTTCATGTTCTAAACAAAGAATAGGATCCATAGTGCTTCTACCTTTTCTAAATCCCCTTTGAAATGTTGATAAATCAATCTTTATTAATCATTCTCTCCATTATTTTACATATATGTGAAGTTAAAACAATCCGCCTATAACTTGCTGGATTTGAACGCTCTTTATCTGGCTTTAAGATTGGAAATATGATTGCCTCTTTCCATACCTTAGGAAAAAAAACACTTCCCATATGTTATTATAGAAATCCAATAAAGCCTTTTTGGATGCAGCATTAAGCCTATTAACCATAATATAAGTAATATTATCTTTTCCTGGAGATTAATATTTTGATTTCCTTAAAGCATTGTTTAATTCAAATAAAGAAAAAAAAGAACAATTTAATAAGTCATTACATCTTATATTTTCTTCTAGTAAATCAACATTTTCTTTGATTGTAGAAATTCTTCTCATTTTTTCTTCTGAATTTAAATTATTACTACTGTGAACTTTAACAAATGTTTTGACCAACATGTTTGCCTTCTCCTCCTCAGTCACAGCAATAACATTTCCATCTTTCAGAACTGGATAACCATATTCATTTCTAATTCCATTCATTCAGTTTATCATACCCCAAACTTTACAAGTTTTTGTTTCCCTACCTACCGAATTACAAAAGTTCACAAAAATAAACCTTTTTGGCATTTTTCACAGTTCTTTTAACAAGAGTTTGTGACCTTTTATATTTAAGAAAATTAAGATTTCTCTTTAACATCCTAAAAGCTTTTTTTCTAGATTTATTGCAACACCACATTCCTTTGTCCACCATGTTCTATTTTCTTCTTATATTTTCCTCTTTTCCTTTAGATTGTTTCATGTGCAGCACTTAAAATTGCTTCACAAATCGAAAAATTTAGTTTAACATCCAAATTTATATCAACCTTTTGAATTTCTTCATCACTTAGTATTTTATATTTTCCAAATCAAC